GGCAAAAAGATCGCTCTCGGATAGGCTCGAACTATCAACCTCCTGATTAACAGTCAGACGCGCTAACCAGTTGCGCCACGAAAGCGGATCCAGGTTTAACACCAATTTCTGACCTGTAGCGGTTAAGCGGGGGTGGAAGGAAGGCGGTGAGGTGGACGATGGTGCCTGGGACTCCGCGAGATAATCGGCTTGTCTGCTATTGCGAATAGTTACAGCATTTACCGGTCGCACGTCCTGAATAAATCGAAGCTTTGACTTGTCCTTTTTCTCGATTACAAACCAACGATTCGCGTACGGGCCAATGGAAGGCTCTAAGACCCTGGCAGCACGTTTTTCTTTGAGCATGCTTACAATTCGATTGTATAAGGCTCGCGGCATCAGGAATGGTTTATGATCCCAGGGCTCGTGCGGAACTGTTGGAATACGAATTGGCGGCTCAATGGACTCATGCAAATGGCCCATCTCGCTGTCCTCAAATGCGAAAGCATCATCTACCTCGGCCAGTCGTCTACGAAAATATCCTTGTTCTGCTGAAGTAAGCCATCCATCACCGACCTGTAGCTGACTCAGGCGTTCGGCCATCAGGCGCTTGCATGGAGGGGTGGCAGTTATAGTAGGATATTCCTCCAGCTGGTCCTCGGGTTTTAAAGGCTGGTTGACTGGGTGCACCTTTTTCGCTGCTGGCTTGTATCGTGTTGCATTTGCTGCTAGTGGCGTCCCAATCGAGGTAAGGTTGCAAATGTAGCGCCCATCTGGTACGTCATTATCATTCACGCCCTCGTTCCTTCCAGCGATTACTGCTTCATCGCCCTTCGTTATCGCACCTGTGATCACCAGTGCTTGTATCTGTGAGCCGTTTTCCGTCGAAATCGCAAATCAAACTTTGGATGCACCGTCAGAGATATGATAATATCGGCCACCATCCTCTGACTTCTTGACTTGCCAGTCAGTGGACTCCAAGTATGGCAAACCAAGTAGTAGATCATACTTAAAGTTCTCCAATGCCAATACATTTGTCGATATCACCACTTCCCCAATAGTCACCTTAACATGCTTTGCGATTCCTGATCCCTTCTGTAAGTGGTTGGTAATGCCGACTATTACTGCATTGTTCCGAGTAGTAATAGGTACATTCAACCTGCAGAGCCAACTAGTGTCACCAATGTTCAGTTCTGATCCAGGATCAATAACAATGGCAACAGGCGAGTTTCCAACTGATCCCCACACTTTCATAATCTTGCAGGCTGTCTTCGCACTTGCCTTCGATTTGACTGCTATAGGCTTCACAATTGCCGCGTTTACCTTTGGCAGTTCAGTGGGTCCAAGAACCCAACGACAGGTAAGTACATCTCGTAGATAGTCCCGCGCCTCATTGCTAATCCCTAAGAAATTCATCAGAGGAATAGTAGCATTTGTACCACACAGGACCTTCTCTGGTGCCAGCTTTAATGGTGCTAGCTCTGCGCTAGATCGCACACGGTAAGCAGGAGGGTTTCGCTGGTGGGTCTTAGGGACTCTGGGATCTGTCATTTCGGTATCTTGGTTTGTCATCGAAGCAGTGGCTGACAGAGTTTCGAGGATCGGCTGGACTATCTGTCTACGTGGGCTTGCTGTCATCGTCGGAGGCAGAATAATCTGTTCACACTCCTTCTGTGTCTCTGTTACTCATACTGGTCGTGCTTTCTCTGCGGCTTTCGCTTTGCTGATATTTGGTTGGAAATCTGAAGCGGCGATTCTCTTACGACGGTGTTCATCTTCGGTAATCAGGGCATTGATTTCCTCCTGCGTATGGTCTCGAACTCGTTTTCCAGCATCGACATGGTATGGATCATCATCTTTGGCATCCTTGACATAGTCTTCAATAGCACTTTGCGATTCATCGTTATCCAATAAAGTTGCTACTTAGATATGATTGATGTTGGCAACGGTTTCCAGAACTGGGCGCTTGACCGTATCCATGAAGCATTCGTTGAATTCACGTTGTATTGGCTGTCCATTAGTGTCACAGCAGAACCCGTTGATAAATTTAATCAAACTGGATTTCTGGTCGCGGATACACTGCTCGCACTTGCACATCATGTGTCCTTCTTATCCGCAGTAATAGCACATCATCGGGCAACTGGAATGAGCTACTTGCGCGACGTTGACCAAGGCGGAATGGTCAGTATGTTGCTGGACCATATTGATCATCATCTTCTCGAATTTGTTCGCGAGCTCGCCTATGATGTCCTCGGCTTGGTGTTCTTGCGTGTGTTTGGTTGGGTGCAGTGAAGGCGACGATAGCTTGGGGTGTGTAATCGGCTTGGACAGTGAGTCTTCTTCATCGGAAATAACTCGCCCATCATATGCTCGCTCATACCATGCACCTTTCTTCACTTGTTGAGTGGCATAGTCAGTGACAATCTTATAGAGAGCCTCAAAACTCTCATTGCCCTTGACCTTTGCACGAATCTCGCGCTTCTAGTCTTTCCCGATGTAATCGAGAAGTCTGACAGAACGTTCACTATCAGACTACTGGGAGACTCCTAGAAGCGTGACCTTGGCTTTGACCAGGAAGGGTAGTGGCTGATCAGGGTCTAACAGCTTTGCCAGAATGGCTTCTGCGACCTCGACATCTGTATATGTCGGCTTGAGCAAAGGGAACAGTTTGATGAACTCATTCTTAGTCTTGGTCCAGATCTTGAGATCATTGCTGCTAACGCTTTTCGTCATGAGGAAATGCTCTTCCTTTTTTAGGTAGTTCATGAGCATGCTTCCCCAAGTATCCTCGGGTAAGTCAAAGAATCGGACATATGCCTCGAATCAGGCGGCAAAATCTTGAGTGTCTCTGCCAGAGAACATGGGTAGTCTAGTAGGAATCGTCTTGAAGCCTTCCCCCCATCGGGCTCCATCTTTAGCAGTTAAGCGGGGGTAGAAGGAAGGCAGTGTGGTCGACGTTGGTGCTTGAGACTCTGCGGGAAAATCCACAGTTCCGCCTATCTCTGGATCAGGCTCGGAAGTGGAGGACATAACTAGATAAATCTCTGCACTATGTCTGTGTACACAATAGATGCTTTTGTCGATATGTAAAATCGAATAATAAAATAAATAGGAAAGGAAAATAATGAACTTCTATCTACCAAGATCCTCTGCTCGTTCATGGAAGGAAGATGGCAATGACTATGAGTTTGGGAAATAAAATATTCAATAAAAAAAACACTAATACATTCGAGTGCTTTTATAATGTCCAATATTGAAATAAATAAGTCTGAAGAAAAACTTATATCCTGCGACTCGCAACTGCTTATATACTTAATCGGCAGAATGTACATCGGCGACTTCGTATGGCTAAGCAGTTCTCACTGCTGGCCGTCGGCCATGCTCGTGATTCTGGCTGGCCCCTCTGTGGCAGCGGAGTTGCAGAGTTGCAGATATGTAGAGAGAAGTGAGAGAGAGAGAGAGAGATAAAAGAAAGAAATAGAAAGGAACAACGTGAGCAGGAAGAGTGTAGCCAAGTAATGCTCATGCGGAATAATGCTTGAGTATAAAGACTGCAGCTCCCTCGAGTCATGGAATATGAACTTGATCATAGTATCTGATACTCATGATACTCAACAGTACAGACTGTTGAGGTCGAGCACACCATAACATCATGTTGTGGTCCCAAGCGTGGACCGTTTATGATATGACAGACCTCTAGAGATGTACTGCCATAGACCCAAGTCCGGCAGACCATGGTTCTGCCTAGATTCAGTGGAGTACACTCGGGAATTCTGGCTGATTACTATAAGGTGCCAATGACTAAACTTCATTTATTTTTACAGGAAACGTCAAAGATATTTACAGCGCACGGAGGCTATAAGCAGAAATTGCGGGACAAGAAGGAAGATGCAGGTGTTTGGCAGGTGTTCCAATGATCATGATATATATAACATACATTTCTTAGGTGAAACAAAAATAAGAAAAAGGGAGTCAACAACAGAAGAAAAAAGTCTACTCTACTTATTGTTCTTAGTCAAGTTCATATCGTATTGTTAAAAGTGCTCGTCCCTCATAGTGGAAGTACATTTTAAAACAGTTTGTAGCTAAGAGCCATTTGCCTATTCATTTTCTTGTTCTTTTGTTCTTGGATATACAATCTACGTACCAATGTCTATTTTATTCTATTTTCAAGATCATCAACATGACTGAACCCAACATTCTGAAAGCCGGCGCACTGAATGCCGTAGCAACTGCACCAGCCAAGTCGAGTGGCCACGACTACGGCACCACAGAGAAAATCACTTGTACACAAAGTAATGCATAAAGCAGCACTAAATTAAGCGCAATGTCTTGTACTCTGATGACCTTTCTTCCTATTTGACTACCTTCTGCTTTGTGTAAGTTCAGAAACCTTTTTTGTGCAAAGCTCTCAGCAGGGTGAAAACTCAGCTAGCTGTGAAACAACATATAATTTACAGAACAATCTAGCGAACATGGTAATAATGATGTTGTGGTCTACAGACTGGTACAAATGTTCATATAATGTCATGTCGATCTCAGTACAGTATGAATCTAGTTGTTTGGTAATCTGTTGTTGCCAATATTCTACTAGGAGGCATAGTATTTGATGTATCAGCATCCTCTTTATCCGCCTCATTGGACGCATATGTATTTGCAATTGTAGCTCATAAACAGATCAACTGGTCTATATGGTATTGCCAGCACAAAGTGTGATACAACCGATTATGCCATCAATATTTAGCATTCTTATAAGGAATTGCATCTGCATATAGCCCTATGAGCAATAGCTTTGATACTCTTGCACTTTCCATTGACTCTGGCATATTGCACAGTAAGCGAATGCCTCTCTCCCCGAGCAATAATGCTACAACGGATGTTCAAGGTGAGCTTATAGACAAAAGTCAGAAGCATGTGTGCTATCTTTGTCACCATTACAGGCAGCCTTGTCATTCCTGTCTAACTTTTATCACCATTTCTTGGCCAGCGCCGATTGTTGAAAACAAAGCATGTATTGTAGATGAAATATACATAAACAGCAGTGGATCCTGGAAGCCCAAAG